GCAGCGGCGGCGGCGGCGGCAGCGGCCTCAGCCTTGCGCTCCCGCGCCTTGCGGGCCTGCCACCGTCACCCGCCCAGCAGCCCGCCGCCGCCTCCGCCCTGCGCTTTGTGGAGCCGAAGCCCAATGACAGGCAGCGGCCTCTCGCTCCAGACCCGTGCGCTTACCTGTGGCTGACTGGTTGGTGGCTTGGGGCCGACTCCAGAGCCAGGAGCCCCCAGGTGGGAGCGCTGCTCGGGAGGAATGGAACAAAGTGAAAGTGGGCACGGGGAGAGGCTGAGACGGCTGCGACGGTGGAGGGGGCGGTGAGGGGTGCCGGGAGGGAGGCAGAGGGCCAAGTGCTCTTTATTTGGAGTGGGTTTAAAGACGGAGATGGTGGGGCAGGCCCGCTGGGATTCCGCTCCCAGTGGGCTTCCGCGCTAGCAGTGCCTGCCCGGTGCATTCCTGGGATTAAGGAAGGAGGTTTTTTAACCCTCTAGAGTGTCCTTCTCAAGAGGAGGCCCCCTGTTTGGTTGTTTCTCCTTTTGCAGACTGCCGGGCCGCCTCGTTCTCGGGTAGAAGGCAGTCATGCTGCTCCGTGGAAGCACGGGCATGTTTGTGTTTACACCTCGGTGGACGAGACTGTGGCGGTGGGGCGGCCAGTCTTGGCTCCAGACCCAGGACGTCCTCCTCCCCCTGCGCTCCAGTTTAGGTTCCGGTGGAGGTCGCTGGGTCCCTGCTGTGCTGCCAAAACCCTCCTGGCCGAGTCAGTATTCCCTAGCTAAGACTTTTGTGTAGTGGCTCTTCTGCTAATTGCGGTTATCCGCTTTGCTGACATCCTGTTTTGTTTTTGAGTTTTACATCCCATTTGTTGTTTCTTTTTATCACAGAAACGCTTCGTTAAGGGACTCAGGCAGTACGGGAAGAACTTCTTCAGAATTAGAAAGGAGCTGCTTCCCAATAAGGAAACAGTGAGTACAATCGGACTTTATGTAACTTGATTTTTTTTTTTTTTCCTCTTTGCTCCTGCTGCTGCTTCTCCACATTTGATCTTATGAAATGGTTTCCTTTAACCCTGTGCTGTGCTCAGATAATCTGGCTTCTAGAATGGTTTAAAAAGTCACTTCCGTGACTTTTGGTTTTGGCTCATGGTTTTAATATGCTAAAGGGACATGTTTACCTCCCTGAAGAATGTGTTATAACTGGGAACAGAAAGGTCTTTGGGAACAGAGTAGGTAGGTTGACAAGGGTGTTGGAGAGTTAACATCTAATTTTAAATACAGTGGCTTGAAGGTGTCAGTTATCGCTAATTTGGCTTTGGTAACCAGCAAAACTCATGAAACAAACAAATTATAAGAATCAAGAGGCGAATGGCTTCCTTGAATTCTGTTGGAAGCCCCCCACCCCTTTATTTAATGTGCCTGTGTCTCCGAGAGGAGGTGTAAGTCTTTTACTGTTCCAGCCCTACAAGGTAGCATTTTTCACTGGATTGATAAACCAGGGATTTTGTAAGTTATTTAAGTGGAGCTGTATAAAACAGTCCTTTTATAGCACGAAGCTATGGCTGAGACCTGACAGCTCCTGAACTCCTGTAAAGTTGTGTTAGAAGGGTCTGCTGTGGAAGTGTTGGAAAGGCATTCAAGGCTCTTGACCTAAGGTTTAGCATGACTCCTTATCTTATGGGAGGTACTGAGGACCTGAGGGAGAACCTTCCTGCACGCTGGGCCACAGAATAGGGGGTCCTAGGGAGGGGGCAGAACCAACCACTTAGCCTGAGCATTCAGTAGCAGGAAGTTCTCCCCAGGACCCAAGAGAGGTGGCTTTGATATTTAACCTCTCTCCCCAACGGAGCTGCTTTTTTAGGAAGCTGGAGATGATTGAGGAATATCCATTATAAAGGGGGGGGGTTCGTGTCCTCCTGGTTGCTTTTTGTTTTCTGTTGAATGTTGCTTACTGACTTCCTTTTACTTGATTTATTTACACTTTTAAAATATAAACTTTTTCTGGACACTTGCTGCATATGTTGTACTACCTTAAGGATCATGGTAACACAGAGGGGAAGAAAGTTTCTGAGATTTCAAACACATGGCCCAGTAGTAGTTGGTGGCTTGTATCAATGATAATTAAGTTAAACTTATGGTATTTATTATGCATCTAAATATGCTGAGGTAAGTCGTTGAGAATGGTAGAGGAAGCTGATTATAAATATTGAAATTAAATATTGTATGGAACTGATTTATCTAATTATCTATTGCCCTTTCCAGAACAGGTTGGAAGAGGTATTTACTGTGGGAAAGGTAAATAATTACTCTTTAAGTTTTCTGGAGACTTTCAGTTCTCCACATTTGACGCAGATTTTTAAAAATTAATTAAGGGCCCGGGAGATGGAAAGGGCCTGAGTTCAATCCCCTGTTCAGCATAAATAAATAAATAAACAAACAAGAACTTCACCAAGTCCTTAAAAAATAAAGTAAAAATTAAAGTGCTTTGATCCAGGTGTAGTTTTGGTTTGAGTGAACAAGAGATGAATGAGTAGGTTTGTTCTAAAGTTGTGACGGAGAGACTGAACTCAAGTTTTCGCTGTCCCTGTGCTGTGCTGAGAGCACACTGAAAGCCTGCTGTGCCTGAAGAACTTGGTAGAAGTCTCTTGACAATCACTTTATCTTAACTGTGTAAAATAAACAAATGTGTAATAGCATAGTTGAGCATTAAATCAAAAGCTACTGTTTATCATTTGGAAACACCAGACATAGTTTTATCCAGTGTCTTATCTCCCTAGTGGAAGTAGACCTGGCTAACCTTTAATGTAGATAAGGCTCTTTTCATCTGTTTTTCTGATTAGAAGCTTGAATGTCTCGCTTTTTTTTTTTTTTTCTTTTTTCTTTTTTTCCTTTTCTTTTGCAGACAGGGTCTTCCTATGTAGTTCAGTGGCCTTCGTCTAACTAAGTAGTTCAGGCTGGCCTCAAACTTAGAGCAATCCTCCTGCCTCAGTCTCCCAAGTGCTGGAATTATATGCTGGTGCCACCATGCCCTGCCTCCTCTTCTTGCTCTGGGCTTTCCCTTCTGCTAGATGGCTCCTGTTTCAGGGAACAGCGTTTCTTCCCTGCACATGGCTCTGAGCTCATCCTTCCTGAGACATCCTCCAGTTGATCCCCTGCTGCCACCCAGGCTCTGTCTGTGCCAGCCTCTTCACTGGTGCCTGGTGCTGAGGTGAGCAGGAGGGTGTTTTGCAGCAGTGGTGGCTTTATGGTGGCTGCCATTTACTAAGCAAGCTTCTCTTTTGGTGGCACTGGAGTTCTTAAGTCTTGAGTATTTTAGTCATCTGGGAGAGGCTCTCCTCTGGTATTTTCCCTCGTATCACACAGCCAAGCTAATCATTTACAGCCCACAGGGAGGGGAGGACAAAGGTTATTTTTTCATTTTTGTTGCAGGAGATGAAAAAATTCGGGGGCTGGGGAGATAGCTCAGTAGAATAAGCGCTTGCCTGGCAAGGGCCTGAGTTCAGTCCCTGGTTCTGCGCCCCCCCCCCAAGATGCAGCATTTAATATCAATACCAAATAAAAACTGAGTTTATAGAAACCAATTTTGGGGCTGGGGAGGTGGCTCAGTAGAGTCAGCACTTGCCTGGCAAGCACAAGGGCCTGAGTTCAATCCCCGGTTCCGCAAAAAAAAAAAGGCAAAGAAAAATTCGCAGTTAACAGTGTTCTTTGTTGAAAAATTACTTGGTGGAAGCCATCTTATGGTCATGTTCCTTTTTTAGGAAATTCCCCAATCCAGGTAATTTCCACGTTGTATTCTTTTCCAGAATTATTAACTTATTTTTTCGCTATTCTCGAGTGACTTGAAACATCAGAATGGCATCTTGATCCAAGAGAACACGCCTGGTTGGGCATCAGGGCGAGGGTCAGCAGGCCTGTGTTCTATTCTTGGCCTTTCCAGTAACTATAGTACTCGATGATCTCTTCAACTGTGACGTCGGCTCTGGGCCATGCAGTGGCAAGTTCAGGTCAGTCTTCACAAGGACTGGGAAGTTCCGTTTTCAGAAGTGCAGCTTCTTTGCAAGAGGGTCTTTTGGGTGCTGTTATGTTCCCCAAAGGCTTGCCAGCTGCTCCTGCCCTACATCCAGGAGCCAAGTGATGGCTTTCACCTCCTGCTTCCCCTGTCATGGGCCAAGGCAGATTATCCCACCTCTTTGTCCTTCAGAGTGTGTACAGTGGGTGGTAGGAAGAGAATGGTTCCTGGGTTTTCATTTCTGTCTTTTTTGGGGGTGGGGGGCAGAACCGAGGATTGAACTCAGGCCCTTGTGTTTACCAGGGAAACACTTATTCTACTGAGCTGTCTCCCTAGCCCCTTCACTTCTGTCTTGCTAAAACCCCTCTACATTAAACGTGGAGGGCCTAGAGCAGCACCCCACTTAGTGCGCCTGCCCACCCTTGGAACGTAGCTGGGAGACCTCAGTTCTGTAGGAACTGCGGCCAAGTCAGAGGGTCCTTGGTGGCCACAGGTACCATCAGCTTTCCTGCTTCTTTTGGTTTCTGGTGTTTGTTACATAGGAGCTACATAAGGTTTTTCCCTCACTAAAGTGGGCAGAGCAGCAGTGATCACAGAAAACCAACTGTGTTTATAGAGATCTAGTTAAACCGTATTGCATGTTAACCTTGTGATACCCAAGAGAATAACTGAGGCAGATCTCGTATCACGATTGTACAAGTACTTTGTTGTTTATTGTTCTCATTATTTCTGCCTTTCTCTAGGCTTGTTCGCCCCTCCTCAGTATGTTTGTGAAGTATGTTTATGTAGTTAGTAGCTAAAGTGTAAAGACTCAGCAGAACATCTGAGTCACGCTGGCTGTGTATTTCTTCTGTCTAAAGCTACTGCTGGGGCTGGGGAGATGGCTCAGTGGAATAAGCCCTTCCCTGGCAAGTGCAAGGGCCTGAGTTCAATCCCCAGTTCCACCAAAAAAAAAAAGCTGTTGTCCTAGAGGTTTTGTTGTGAGTTCGTATGGTGGGAGTAGAAACCCGAGGCCCTGTCCCAGAGCTGTGGAGAAGGTGGAGAACAAGGCCTCTTGAGTTTGCTTTGAGCACTGTTTATTTAATTGTTGGGTAGATGAATTACATGGGCTTTGATGTTGGGGAATACCTGAAAACCTGGATGATTGATAGAGTTAGATTTGGCTTAATGTAGAGGGGGCTCTATGTTATAAATAATACCATGGGTCATCCGAAGGGAATTCTGCCGCATCATGGGATAATTACACAGACGGCAGTGATGCCTTTTCTCAGTCTGAGAATGGGTTGATGTCATTTGATTTTGTCTCTTTTTTTTTTTTTTTTTTTGCGGAACTGGGGATTGAACTCAGGACCTTGCGCTTGCCAGTGAAGCACTTATTCCACTGAGCCATCTCCCTGGCCCCATTGTTGTCATTTGAACAGAAGTCTTTGTGTCTGGCAGATTGGCTCTCAAATCCTGGCCTTGGCTCCCAGCTGGATCTGTGCTTCTTCAGTGACCTGGCATTGCTATTCCTGTCTCAGATGCAGTGCAGGTTGGCGAGCTAGAAGGAGGTGTCTGTAGAATACCTAGGCACCCCCGGAATGAGAAGGAGGTGTAAAGGCACACACTTCTCTGGAAAGTAGCTTGCGGTTGCTTTGGTTTCTTCTCCTCTCATTAGTTTTACTTTTGATTACCTAGCCCAGTAGAGGGGAAGGTCCTGTTATTCGTCCAGGGATTGAACTCAGGCCCTTGCGCTTGCCAGGGAAGCATTTATTCCACTCTCCAGCCCAGTCACTCAGCATTTTCAGAGCTAGACAGTGATTCAGTGTATTGAAGTTTTGGGTAAGTGCTTTGATAGACGGGATGTCTATAAAGAGAAGCAGCCTGCCCTTCCTGTCTGCAGGATACCAAGCCACATGCAGGCCTGCAGCACTTGGTAGGACTTGATGAGGGCCTGTGGGTGGTGATTCGAGCCCTGTAT